GCAAGCGGAGACGACAGGTCAACCGCTCGCGTCGCATTTTCATGTTTAAACAGATCTAAAACGCTACTCTGAGCAAAAAAAAAGCCTGTTTCTCAAGTTACAGCATTTCGCGTGTGAAATAAAAATTGGAATTGTATCTTGATGGCGTTTGAAGCGCGAGATGCTTGGGCTTTCGCGCCATGGCTGAGAAATGCAATTCAAAACACTCTTGCGTAGCGTGCGCTAACGCAAGTGCTAAATGTAGCGCTAGCGTGCGCTAAAATTGCGCACGTTATTCTGAAACTCCCTATTATCCGAAAAGAGGCACGCATGGGTGGGTGACGTCTCCCAATAAACAGCTTAATTTGATTCACTCGGGAACTATAAATCTACAAAAACGTGAACAAGTTTCGTCATCAAAATTTGCCTTTATATTCAAGTGGCACAAAAACGTGCAATGAAGAAAAGGAAGGTCGAACAGGAGATTCCTGCGTCATGTCTGCAACGAGAGCCACATGTATGCAGGCACTCAATCGACACGCTCCTTCGGTGAGAATTCAACCCAACACTCGTTGATTTCAATTTTAATTACCGTACATAGCACGGCGCTAATTCCGTAAGAGCGAACATAAGAGACCGTCATCTAAGTTATTGCTAGTCATTTTTGCTGAATGTCTGCCTGTACGAAGTAGTACACCGGCACAAAACACGGAGGCTGACCAAAGTATCGCAGCAATGGGTAAATTCATTGAAGCCCCAGACAAAGCTAAATCAACGTAGTTAAGCTTACCCACCTCAATCTTAAAAAGGGAGTGCTTTCTATAAAATGACCCGGTAAATCGGTTATCAGCGCGTATTAGGCCAACTCTCTTATGCTTCTGAAAAAATTCAAGAACTAACATTGGTGGTTGCCCTCCATTCAGATAAGCCGGAAAGAAATGAATTTACATTTCCTTCGGTTATAATATACTGGAATCCCTTCCGGGATGTCTCGGGCACACACATCGAATTCGAGAAATTGAGAGAGGGGGAAAAGGATTTATTGTAGAGACTGGACGTTTGGTTGCGTTTTAAAACTTACTTGGCGAAGGAAGCGATAAAAGTGCTTCGTAAAGCCAAGGGATAAGTACAAAGAAGAGTGACCACAGTCGAAAAGAAGCTAGAAAACATGATTGCGCTTTGAAGACAGGGACATAAGAAGAACAGACACCACAGAGCGCTAACTTTCAACTGATTTAATTCAAGAGCCTCAGCGTAGAAACACACTGCGTCACCGCACCCCATCTCAACCAATCCGTGGCCCAACGATCAGTTGAGGTTAAGATGTGGTGCGGTGACGCAGTGTGTTTCTACGCTGAGGCTCTTGAATTAAATCAGTTGAAAGTTAGCGCTCTGTGGTGTCTGTTCTTCCTATGTCCCTGTCTTCAAAGCGCAATCATGTTTTCTAACGTACCATACCAACTTGCCCAAAAATCAGCACTTGTCGAAAAGAAGCCTCCAGGGAAGCAAAAACCTGGCGACCAGTCTGCGCAGTACCCAGAAAGTTTCCTTCGGGGCATTCTTATCAGATTCTAGTACCGTCCTGTTTTGTTTGGGGTTCAAGACACCATGCGTCAATGGAAGCTTGACAATTGTCCCTTTTCCAAAGGTCCTCGCCAACGCCTGTCCGCCGTGGCTTGATCACAAACTCTGCGCTTGTATTGAACCCGAGGGTGAAGTCAGCGTTCGGTGAATCCTCGGATCCAATTACGCGCTTCGTGTCCAAGCAATGGCGACAGCCAATGTTGCTCGATGAACTTTTGAAAAGGGTCTATTTCTACGAAGACGTCCGTCGTTGTCCGAACACTTATTTAATTTTACAACCACGCAAGGATAAACACTTGAGGTTGGACCTTCGTCGTGTGATGCGATTCGAGACACAGTATCGGACACTTCAATGCTCTCAGAGAATGGAGGCAGGGGACTTTTATCGTTCTATTAGGGTGCAAGAAAACTTGCTGAACGAGAGCTACATTTTCGCCTAAAGGTATAACAAACGGATCGGTAAGTCAGCGACGAAATCTGCCTCTTTCAGACACTCTCGCCATTCGTAAAGCAGCCGTCCGACGACAACGCCCGATACACCTGCCCTAATAAGCTATCGGATGCAACGATCAAAGAACAGCATCGCAAAATTATGTCTCTGGCTGTTTAACCACTCGTTGACACGACGGTCGTCCCGGGCTTGGGCTCAGAAACTCCACGGAGTTAAAGAAGCTCCTGCCTGGTAACTTTGTCGGCGTACCAGGCCGATGTTTCGAAGAATTCAACGTGAGCGAGGGCACGTCTGGAAGGGAAGCGTCGACGACACACGCACGCGTCCGCTCGCCGCCGCGCAGACGGAGAGCCCAAGGTGGCTCCAGAGCTGCAGAGCAGCGCTGGGTGGCGTCTACTGCTCTCGCGATTATAAGGCTGGGCCCCGGCCAGTCACTTCATCTTGCCCAGTCTCCCATTTTAGTGGAGAGGAGTCCGGGGTGCCAAAAAAACCGGTTCCGCCATGCCGGTTTTGCTCGTGCCCGAGCACCCTCAAGTCTGCGCAGGATAGCACCTCGGCTGCTTCTGCGAACCGTCTGAACCGAAAGCGCCCTTGCTACCTTCGCATGCCCGCGGGCTGCGCGGCGTTCGACCCTAAACGAAGCGTGGATAGGTCTGCCTGGGTTTTCTTGATAACCGCCTCGGCGTGGGACGGCCGGGCGAAGATACGGAGCGTCGTTGAAGGAAGGAAGGAAGGAAGGCCGGACAGGTTGCTGTTGTGTATCGCAACGTCGGCCCTTGCCTCTTTGTTGTCCGAGTCGCCCAACAGAAAACATGTTTGTTCTGGATCAATAGGGCGGAAGAACCTCAGAGAATCCGAAGGGTTTACAACACCACTTGTGCCATCTCTCGTTTTCATAATCGTTATTGACGTGGACGGGGAACAGAAACTGTGTATCTATCTCGACGTTAACGCTCCCGGCGAAAACATTCGATGCGAGCTTATAAGTCCTGTCCACGAGAGTGCTGATGGGCCAGCGAAGACCCGTAAACGCGAGTTTCGACACAGGGGGGGGGGGGGAGGGGAGGGAGGGAGGGGGGGGGGGGGCGAGCTGCAAAAGCGGTGTATGAATACTAGCTTGCATATAGTGACATACGTGGCTACACCATGAGACTCATCACTTTTAGATCTTAATAGCAACTACACAGCATCTCGAGAGTTTTGCGCCGCATTGTGGTAGGCGTCAGCGGGTGTGCTCGTGCACACAAAGAATTCCGTGCACAAAGCTTGCGAAATGAAGTAGAGAATACATTCCTCATCGCAAATCATGGTGAAACATTCGTGCCAATGTGAGCACTCGGCAACTCGTAAATCTCAACGGGCCATCAGTGCTGGGTGGATGCTTACTGCAATGCATTATCGGCAAGCGACCAATAAAATAAGCAGTCGCAAGTCGGCCAGCTCGAGACGCCAGCTACAACATGGGATCGTATGTGGCACGCAGTGTTGACGCTTGGCAGTAATGCGTTACTAGTAACGGCGTTAGCGGTAATGCCTTACTTTTTTTTCGGTAACGCAGTAAATGTTGTCATGTTACTCGTTACACCTTCACAAACCCTTTAAAAAAAATTAGCACTTCAATTTGTTCCGTGTTTTTAGGCGGCAAGTCATGAATTCTCGCGTTTTGTACATTTGTTTTTGGCGGTTTTCCTGGTGAGATTTAGGTGGAAACGTAAAAAGGAAGGTAATTATGTTAAGATTTCGCATCGGCACAAGAGTTCCTTGAAATATGGCGCTATGACGCCTATGCATACTTCTAACTTCAAAAGAGTAATAAGTTGTAGCTCATAAATAAAAATACCGCAGAAGCAAATTGCGTGACTTTTTATCGGTAACTATAACGCTTTCATTTTTGATGCAACGTGGGTCAAAATGCGTTTCCTTTTTTTGGCAAAGAACGAATAACCTTCTTTTTTTTTTCGGTAACGCCTATAAGCCTGGTCCTAGCGACCCTTCAGAATGCTATAGGACCAATACGTCTAATCACCAGCGGAATATTTCAGTCATGTTGGCAGTCGGAAGGAGAGTATACAGATCAGCCTACATTCGAGCAGCATTCAGATTTCTGCGCTTGTATGTAACACCAAATAAAGGATCAGGCACAATGAACACTCTGCGACAAAATGAAACATTTTATCGCGGTGATGACAGCCCAATGGTGAGCCATATATGTTTGTTTGAATAAAACAACCACGCATTAAGCAACAATTGGAGGATAGCTTAAACGATCAGTCTCATAGCGTGAGTGCCTATAGAGAGGGGATATTTTGGTTGGGATGACGGAAACTATGTTATGAATAAGCAGAAGCAATCTTTTTGCTTCCGAAACCGTTGCTACATATAATGGCATACAGATCGCAGTGGAGTCTTAACTAAATTCAAACAAAACGTACACTGAGGCCACTGAGGTGCCTGGAAACCTTAGCATTGGGGACAGACATTCTGTCTTTCATGCGCTCTCTAAACTCCACCCAGATCAACTTGGCCTTAAACTCTGACAATGCAGTCTAAGCGAGATCGTAGATTAACCGCATCATCGTAAGAACGAAAACTGAACGGCTTCCGCCTCTTTTTACAGAAACTAACATCTTAAGAAACCGAATCAACCATTTGTGTCTTTTTTTAAACTTGAAGATAGTAATGTTGTGCGACCAGTAGACAATATCTCGTGCCATCGCACCCGAGCTCTTCACGCCCCAGGTTCGAGTTGTTTTGGCCAACGACATAGGTATTGTTTTTGTGACCGAGGGGGCCACAAGCCTGCCGGTGTGTCGGCACTCAGAACTCGCTACAGAGTAAGTAATGGTTATCCAGGTTTGCGATTCATCGTTGACGAACCGCTAGAAGAGACCACGCATAAGCAAACGATGTGCTTAACAAAAATCGATTGTTTCCACCAGGAAGGGTGGTTCGAAGTACAATGAAGGAGCAAAACAACACGGGGATCAACGTTCTGGAAAATGTTGCGACACTTTTATTTATTGCCATAAAAGGATTTTTTTTTTGTCTTCAATTTCAATTTTGTATTTATGGTTCATCTCTTCTTTTCGCTGCGAAGTTTCAAAGTCACGCTATAGGATATTTATTGTTCATTGGTTGGCGCTTTCTCCTTTATTTCAAACCACGTTTTTTTCATTTTTTTTTCCATTGGGTTTGAGTTTTACCAGAGAAAGTGAGAGAGACACCAGGGAGAAATTGGGGGCAGAGACTTTGTTCGTAAGCACAGAGGTACAGAAGCCAACCATGGGAGAAATTTGTTGTTCCTAGGAAGTACGCCAACGTGGCTCTATACACAGCAGTGGCTCTCAACGCGTAACACACTCGGGACCCGTCTTCTTCGTTATCACACTAAATATCCCTAAATTTTGCTTTGTTTTTAATTACGGAAAACGAAAAAGGCGGCTATGCTAGGTGACGATGCCAGTAAAAAATGTTTTGTTTACTTTAAAACTCGAGTGGGAGCATATAAAACTGTGGTCAGATTTACGCTTTGGAACTGAAGTTCGCTTTTACATGTCATCCTCAATTGCATTTAACATAATGGGGGTGTCGTTGATCTCCATCGATCGAACCTAACGCCTAAGGCGTTGAAATGGTTGACATTAAATAAGTATAAATAAATAGGATAGAAATTTCCTTAAGACCTTGCATTTTATATGTTGTTCTCATGTGGACAAATGCTGGCTCCTTTCCCAAGATGACTTTTTCAAAGCCTGCGCTTCGGCGCACAAACCGCTTCGCCAGTTTCACAACAAACTGCATAGGATTTATACATCACAGCTTCAGATCGCTTCATCTCGCAAAGTGGCGGTATCCGCAGCACTAAGTTCTTGTCTTCTCATTCGTAGTAGTCGTAGAAGAAACTGAGAACACTTTTTGGGGGGAAGTAGGGACAGCAACGAACTTATAAGTTACGAAAGAAAAAAAAAAGGAACACACTATATTACAATAGACCAACTATGTACAGACAGTTCTCGAGTGTCGTTTGCCACCAGTTCTCGCGAAGCGCCACGCCGCAAGAAAACAAGGCGCGCTATGTTTAAAAGAGTTCGTTCAATTTGGAAAATGGAGAGTTCGTTCCCTTCTAAAAAGCGGACACACAGTTCAAGAAGTTCGCTGGCTCGCTCACTCGCGCGCTCCCCGGGCGAGGAGGAAACAAAAGAATTGTTTGTTTACCTGCAGGCGGTCGTGTCAGGGAGGAGGAGATTGAATTTGGGGGTAAACTTGACTTAGATGAAGGGGCTCTAACCCTCTCGGCTCAAATCCTCGCACGCACCCGGCCGGTCCGTGGATGTATCCGTTCGGGGGTTCCAACGGCCGCGAGCACACTGCGGCCAGGGTCACCTCTCGTCATCACCAGGGAAACACACAGCACGGGAGTCGGCGCAACACACGCACGCACTGCGGTCACTATGCACAGGAGAAGTCTCGAAGGAGCGAGCTGTACACGTCCTGCACGGGGGCCGGCGGCGTTCGTCAGATGTGCACGGCGACGCTGGCCACGTCGCTCCTGCTGCCTGGGACGCCCGGCTTCCTGTGGCGCGTATCCGGCATAGCGTAGCGTAGCTTGTCCCAGAACCTCTTCTCTCCCCAGCGCAGGAAGGTGCTGGACTTGAGCCAGATCCGAATGTCCGGGTCGAGCTCCTTGTACGATACCCTGCCCAAGAAGATGACCACCAGTCGGTGGGTGCAACTGTGCAGCACCTCGTGATGGGCCGACTTGAACTCGTAGCGGCACCACTCGCTTTTGAGGAAGTGTTCCGAAAGAATTACGATAGTCCGCCGGCTGCTCTCCACGGCCTCGGTGATGGCGTCCGTCAGGTAGCCGCCGGCCATGGGCAGATCGCGGTAGTGAAGGCACAGTCTGTACGGCGGCTGACCGCACTCTAGCTCGGGCGCCAGGATCTGGGCGACGAACGCCTCGTCCTTCTTGCTGTACGACACGAACGCGTCGAAGAGTTTCTCTTCTTCGGCGGGCGCCCGTTGGAACATGCGCACGCCGTACTTGGTGTAGAACCAGACGCTCAGGTGGCGCCGGTACACGAAGGCCAGCACCACGATGCACACAAGAAGCAAGAACAGGGCGGCCAGTACGACCAGCAGGGGTACGAGGTCTTCGACCTGGAAGTGGCGCACTAGCGTCGTGGCTTCGGACACGTTGGTACACGACGTGGTGTTGAGCTCCCAGAGCGGCAGGGCGGACGTCTCGTTGTGCACGCACTGAATGCTGAACAGGTCACGGACCAGCTCGGCGCCCTTGTTCTGCAGGAAGTCGGTGAACTCCTGGGCGAAGTGGCAGTCGCACGACCACGGGTTGTCGGCGAGCCGGACGTCGTTTAGCCGCGGCTGGAGCTGCAGGTTCCAGATGGCCATCTCGAGGATGTAGTTGTGATCCAGGTGGAGCACTTCAAGCGACTTGAGCGGCACGAAGGTGGCGTTATTCACGTGCGTCAAGTGGTTGTAGGACAGGTAGAGCTCTTTGAGCTCTCCAAGGCCGTCGAACTCGTAGCCATGAAGGGTGGCAAGCCGGTTCCGCTCGAGACGTAGCACTCGGAGAGTGCGGAGTCCGCTGAAAGTGCGGTTGTGGACGGTCTGCACATTGCTGCTGTTGAGGTAGAGGACCTTCATGTTCTTCCGACCGATGAAGGTATGGCTAGACAACGCCGGGATGTCGTTACCGTCCAGGTAGAGCTCGGTTACGTCCATCGGGAGCTGCTTGGGAACGGCGATGTGCGCCCTTGCACTGCAGTCCACGATGTTGGTATTCCAGCTCTGGTCGTAGTAACAGGTGCAATTATCTGGGCATACCATTTCACAGTCGCAAGCATCAAAGTCGCAGCAGTGGCACAGCGCGAAGCAGTGGTTCCGGTAGCGGCAAAGGAACTGCGACGAGTGCGCCTTGACCAGCGGCAGCGTGGCTTTCCTTCGAGTGAAACTCAGATGACATACCACGTCGGCGAGATCAATGACGCGCGGGTACTGCCGGGAGTCGTCCAGGTTGCCCAAGCGCTGCAGCCACTCCATGTGGCAGTCGCAAAGGTACGGATTACCGGCCACCATGAACTGCGGCAGCGGACGGGTGCTGGGCACTTCGCTCAGCCGGAACATGGTCATGTCCAGCGTCTCCAGCCGGTTCTCGGTGAGGTCGACTCGCGTGAGGTTCTGCTTGCCCAGGAACGTGAAGGGCTGGATACGGCGTAGCTGGTTGTTTCTCAGGAACACGATCTCAATCCCATTGGGCAGCGACGACGAGTCCAAGTCGGTGAGCCTGTTGTGCGACACGTCCAGCGTCCTCAGCTTGAGTATGGACTCCAGCTCAAAGTAGTTCCCCAGCGCCTCTATCTGATTGTCGTGAATGTCCAACCACTGAAGCCCGATGGGGATGAGCGCGTAGTCGAACCATCGCACACGGTTGGCGGAGATGTTAAGCATGATGAGGTCGTGCAGGTTACTAAAAAGGCCGTTGACGTCGTCCAGGAAGTTTGAGTCGAGACGTAACGCGTGCAGGTCCGGGACGTCGTCGAACGTGCCCTGTTCGATGGACTGGATTCCATTGCGAGCCAGGTTGAGGATGCGCAGGGACGGCAGGTCGTGGAAGGCCCCCTGGCTGAGGTTGCCGATGTGGTTTCCCATCAGGTTCAGGCCGTACAGATGCCGGAGGCCCTGGTACGACGCGTTTTGGATATCCGTGATGATATTATCCGCAACGTCTAGGGAACGCAGGAACTGCAGGCTTTGAACCACCTTGGGCACTGACGACAGTCGGTTCCCGGCGAGGATGATCTCTTGCAGCGTGGACATATTGTGGAAAGCGTCCGAATGCAGTGACTCGAGCCGGTTGTGGTCCAGGTAAAGGCCGCCCACGGAAGACAGCCCCGAAAACATGTGCATGCCCACAGATTTGAGCCGGTTGTGGCTCAGGACTAGCGTGTGCAGGTTGTAGAGCGACGCGAACGCCAGGTCCGCAATTGACTCGATAAGGTTGTGCTGCAACTGCAGCGTCTGGAGACTGTGCAGAGACCGGAACGAGGATTCGTCTAGTCGCGTAAGCCGGTTGTGCGACAGGTCGAGCACCGTGAGCCGCGTTAGGTCGGCGAGTGTGTCCGGTCCCAGCCAGCCCGAGCTGAGTTGGTTGTGCGCGAGGTCCAGCGTGGTAAGCTGGTCCAGTCCGCTGAACAGACCCGGCGGTAGCGCGCTCAGCGAGTTGTTACGCAGGTACAACTCGGAAAGCTTCTCCGTGGCCTGTAAGAACCTAGGCGGGAGCGCCACCAACGCGTTGTGCGCCATATCCAGGTTCTGGAGTCGGGACAGTCCGACGAGGGCGCCTTGTTCGGCGCGCGCTATTTGGTTGTGGTCCAGCTTGAGCTCGCGGAGCTGCCGCAGAGACGCGAACCCTTTCTCCGAGAGAACTCGCAGCCGGTTGTGGGCGGCATCCAGTTTTTGCACCAGTGGAGAACAGCGCGTCTCGGAGAAGCCCATCCTAGCCACCTCCACGAACCGGTTGCGCGTGAGGTTGACCTGCACGAGCTGCACGAGCGGACACAACACCGACGGAGGAAGCGTGTCCATGTTGTTGCGGCTGAGGTCGAGCCTGACGAGCTGCCGCAGGGGAGACAAGCTGTCCGGCGACAGACGCAGCGAAAACTTTCCCCAGTCCGTGTTGTAGGTGCGGATGCTGAGATTCCGCAGCTCCGAGAGTCCCGCGAAGGCCAGCGGGGGCACCGTCTCGATCTTGCACCGCTCGATGGTGAGCGACCGCAGACCGCTGAGATGGCCGAAGGACCCATTGATGAGGTCGCTCTCGAAGAGCAGATCGTCGCAGCGCACAGTGAGCCTGGCCGTGTGGCCCGGCTGGATGAGGCTGAAGTTGCTCGGCTCGGGACCGCCGCTCAGAGTCCTCACGGCGCAGCTGAGGGCCACGCCAGTCGCGTCTAGAGGCTCCCAGCGGCAGTCCTCGGGGGCCACGTAGCGGGCCGCTTCACTGGGATGCACCGGGAACCACCAGACGAGCAGCAAGAGCAGCGGCAGCGCCCGGCACCACCGCCGTCTCATACCGGCTGCGGATGAGGAGCTCGGCTCGGTGACGACGACGACCACGAGGCGGAACACCACCGCATCGCGGGGCGCGCCGACAGCCTCCGACGTACTCCGAGGGGGGTCGAAGGCGTCCGACTTCTGGAGCAGGGGACGAAGACGCGTCCGACACCGACGATAGTCCTCGGAGAACTGTTCACTCACTGCCGCCGCTGGGGCGCGGATCGGCTCGACTGAAGCGCTGCGAGCCGGTTCGCGGCCAGGAGTGCGTCGGGCTCGGCTCACTTTGGGACGGCGGGGTGAGGCGGGCGGCTGATGCTCCGCCTCCGGGACCCCGCGGAGGTGCACGGCCGGTTCTCCCCTCGCCGCCGGAGTAGGACCGGACCGCCGCGCGCGTTGCCGGTGGGGGCCCTCGGTGACGCTTTTGGGCGGGGACGGCCGCTCTCTTGCTGGACCTGGAGAAATAGTTGAGAGGAGGCGGGTGAAAAGTGGGCTTTGTGCAACGCGTGAGGCTCGCGAGGAAGGGAGGGGGAAAGGGGTCTAAGGAGGGTGCGATCGAGGGGGGGCATCTCTCTTGTTAGGGCGGGCTGGCAGTCAAAATAAGAAACTGGCCGGGGCACACCGAGGGGGTCACACGATTGCGCGCCCGACGGAGGAAAGGAAAAAACACCTCCGGTGTGTGATGATCACGAGCCGTCGTCTTTGTTTCTTCGGGAGCCTAGCTCCGCTTCCGCTGCCTGGCGCCAACTTTGCTTCTTTTTGCGCATCGCGAGGCTCTACCTGCCGTGACTGGTTTTGTCGGCTCTGTTTGCTTTAGCAAGACGGCAGGGGAGGGGGGGCCTGTCTCGGGGCCTCATGAGGGGGCGACAGCCCGGGACGTGAAGTCCCCCCCCCCCCCCCCCTCCCTGCGGCAACAAGAAGGAATCTCTGACGCAATGAAGAGGTACGTGATTGGATTCACGTGAGATATGGGCCTCCTCTGGTGCGGGCTGTTTGATGGCGTCTGTGCCGGTACCCCCCCCCCCCCCCCCCCCTTTCCCTCTCTAGCTCTGCGTGTGTCTGGCCGGCGCAGATCAAAAGTGGCGGTCAACGCGCGGGAGACGGGCGGCCACCGCGTGCGAGCATGCCACCTTCGTTAGGGGAACAAGCCAGCCACTCTGTGCAGTCGGCTAGGCCGGGAATGCAGGTAGACGTGAGAAACGTTTAGCGCTGCGCTGTCTGACTCCGGAGATCCTATGGCGTCGCCGAAGCAAGAACATCTCGATCTGCTCCCGATGGTACACTGACTGTCTGCTCGTCGCACTATGGTGTGCCCCGCGCTATATGTGGTGTTATTCGGACGAAGGATTTGAGATGCTTGCACATTCGTTGAGGGAGATTATGTTCTAGTCCTCACAGCGAGAAAACGAAACGCGTGAGTGGTTCTCCCCTACCATTAACTTTCCAAGAGTGAAAGTTTGTGTTAAGAACCGTTCCCAGTTGGGTGCGATCATTAAAGCACGCTTCGCGAGCTTTATTACGAGATGTTGCCTGCCCCAGAAAAGAAGACGCTATCATGCTGCATCTTCGATCATATTAGTTTGTGAAATCCAAAAGAAACAGTTTCAACAGGTACACACAATCACTTTTTTTAGTTTTTAGGAATCTCTTCTGTGATACGTGACCTCGAAAACAAGCGATACGTAAGATGTTTGTGGGGCAGCCGAAACCTTTCTGACGACGTTGTACCAGTAATTCAATCCCATACTTATAGCGTCGATACTTTTTTGCGACAATAAAGCATAGTTCACTTTACTCTTCGCCTATCGATCATTTGCTCACGAATACAGTAATCATTTTCGGATTTGCGCACTCTGCCGCAAGATTAAAGTGTCTTAACCCTCATTTCGCGCTGTTTCCACATGAGGCACAAATGAAGTAGACTTTCAAAAGCCTACACATGCACGTCCACACGATGTTAGAACAAAGCGCCGCAAAATAAAACGGTTGTCCCGAACTTTCGTGCGCAGACTCCTTCCTTCACCACGCCGACCAATCTCTCACGTTGCGCCGCACGCTCATCCTTTCCCGCGTTTCCTAAAGCGCAGAGAACTTTCTTCGCAGCTAGGCCGCTGCACACCTCCTTAAACTCAGGAATATTCCGGGTAAAAAATAATGTAAAAAATAACAGCGAAAGCGAAGCAAAGAGGAGACTCCCAAAGTCCGCCGCCCACATCGTCGTGCGACGCTTTCCAACAGGAAGCGGACAGGCTCGGATTCGCTCGAGAGAGAGAGCCAGTCTTCCCGCGCGTCGTTTTTCGCCGTCGTCGTACTTCCCCCCCGTTCCCGGAAACGCGAAGGAGAAGCCCCAAGTCGTTAGTAAAGGGGCCGCGTTACAACAAGGCCGCGAAGCGACGACGAAGCAACCGCTTGCTCGCTAACCGACCCCGTGTTTGTGTAGTCTCTCGGGGAGACCAGACGCAGGACCGTCGGTTATCGCGGCGGTGTGACGAACGTCTCTCGAGGCTGAACGGGACAGGAAACCGAAATAGGAGCCGCGCAAGCAAGTGCAGCGCTGTAGCAGCAGCCGCGGTGAAGCGCTGGCTTGGGGGAGAGAAGGAAACGCACACACGTGTTCGGCTTTAGTACGTGCTTGCGCGTGCTTCGCGACGCTCCCGGGGTCTAACTTCCTTCGCTATTCTTACCTACAACGCGTGGCTTTTCCGTCGTCTCGTTAACCGTCCACGGAGAATTGGTTTTAGAACTCGTTAGACAAGGGAGAGAAAACTAGGAGAGAAGCCGTGTGACAGAAGGCAAAATTCCAAAATTGTCACCCGCTTGCGTTCTCTGTTCTTTCATGCGTGGGTAAGGCGTTTTTGCTTAGGCCACACATCCGAGTTCTGCTGAGACCAATCTCTCCTGTTGCTGTGTCGAGCCCGCCTCTCATAAGCAATTTCCCATCCGTCGCTTCTTTTTTTTCTTCCAATCTGGAGACAGGACGCAACACATGACGGCGAAGGGAACCTTTGGAATCTAGCAAACCGTCCGAAACGCACGTTGAACCATCCCTTCGAGTATCACTCCTTGTCGGCTTTCGGGGCCGGGTGGGGAGGGGCGCGCAGACGGAAATTTGGGAAGAACAAATTGCGCCAGCTGTCGCCAAGGAGAAAGAGCGATTCGGCGGGCGGTGAAACCCCGGCCGCCGAAGCTGCTTCTTCGACGGCGCGTAAAATTCCAATTAGTCGTACTGCCCCGAGCGGAAGCACCCGTGCTCATGCTTTAGGGCGTTGTAGACGACAGTTGGCCAAGGAAGGGGACCCGGCGGCCGGTTGGTTGAAGCGGGGAGCGTCTCGGTGTGCCTAGATTTCAGAGCGTTTCTAACTGCTAGATCAGAGTCACGTGGTTGAATGGGCCAGGTTCGCAACACGAGCCGAGCGACGGAAAATGCTTGACCGGGAATACATTTCACTCCGCAAAACTCCAATGACCTTGGAGCGGACAGCCTTCGAGTAGTTAGAACGGCTGGACGAGCGCAGCCTCGGAATTTTTCCCCGATTGAATTTGGAGGGGTGGCTGCCGCCACCTATCGTCGTCGCCAGCGTTCGGGACAGCGAAAACAACCACGTGGACTGCACGATGTGCATGTGCCTTCTCTCGGACGCGTTTTTTCCACCCCGATAGGCAAATATATGGAGCTCTAGGTACGCTATTCGAATACAAATGAACGGAGTGAAATGTATTCTCCATGGTACCTGACAACTGAACAGGCGCAGGGCGGGGCTTATTATGTTAATGCACACCCCTCCACAAAGCGCGCATGCGCACCTGCATCCAATTTGCGCAGGTGGCGTCCGCCATTAAAGTGCAAAACGCTTTCCATGGTTTGTCTCTTGAATCCAGGCTCTGTAGAGCGTCTCTGCGCGAAGGGTGTGTGCTGTGCCGAGGTGGCAATGGCTTCCCGCCGCTGACGGGGTGAGAGAGGGGGGTCCAGTCTGCACGGGGAGGGAGCGGTGCCGGGGTGCGCGAGACTTCGTTAATCACGGCCTGACCTCCGTAGTTAGCGAGACGACGACGCAGCCTGCGTGCCGCGCCGCTCGCGCGTGTAGACCAGCAGGCCTGGCCGTGACGTGGCGGTGCAGTGGTGACGGGCTTTTAGGTACCCTGTTGGGTCACTTGCCGAAATATAAACTGTCCACGCAAGAGTGACAAACTAATATCTCTCCTAATATATCCCCTATTTTTTTTTCTTCTGGGAAAAGGCGTGATGGTGCTTGCAAATATATTTGTAGACGCATTTTTAGGTGAATGTTTTCGTTAGAACACTTTTGCCCAAATATCTTGTAGCGCCCCCCACGAGCTTGTTGTGTGTGCACAGTCAACACACAACAACACACACAGAATGTGTGTGTCTGTGCCAGGCATAGCTGAGGATCTCTAGGAAGACCACACTCTCACCGTTTTGACAAGCATACGTTTGTTTCTCAGCGCCGTGAAATCTTTACGCATTTGCCCTTTTGTTTGCTCCGCGTCTCTTTTGTTTTTTCATTATTATAATAGAGGGGTGCGTACACAATATCAAACAACGAACAATATCTTAGCAGGTTAACGTTATTCGCAACCAAAACTCCCGTGCTACCATCTTGAAGTATCAGACCAGCGCAATTTATTGATAGAGCTCCCCATTAACGATGTTTGCATACAACGCAACACGAATAAAAAGTCGACAAAGAATCGGCAGAGCTGCGTATACGCTCGCATGACCTGATCTTCCAAATTAATGGGCAACGTTAGTATATAACCGAATCATTAAAGCCAAGAGACAAACGAACGTGGCGCCGTAAATCACTCTCCAAGTAAATTCTACGAAATGCAACCGTGTGACTGCATACCTTCGGAGCCGCCATCGAATCGTGTTAAAGTTACGGAGCTGTGAGCGGTAACCGGTTTTCTTGCCTTGCCTGTGAAATTGGAGGTGCAAGATAGCGACAACGAATTGACCAAGTTATTTACGACGTCTCGACGTCCCCGATATTGCCAGACCATGCGATAAGTCACTCGAGCTCAACCATTATTCATGCAAGGCAAGCGAGGCTGAATCCATCTCACGGCCTTACTACGTGTTCTTAATCTTCAGAGCTCACTGACGGCAGAGACCGTCCTCTTTTCTTTCTTGTTATCGTATTACTGTAGGGCAGGTAATGAAACACGTAGGTCGTAACCTACCCACGTTCACTCTCGATAGGCAAATGT